TGGAGGTCTCAGACTGAGTGTATTGGAACCCTATAGAAAATGGAGGGTCACTTCAATGGTCTTTTAAGAAGTGGACAAGCGAAGTTTTGGGGAGACGAGAGTTCGGAAGTAGTGCATGTCCGTTTCAACTTCATGTGAGTAAGCTTTTTGCTGAGATATTTGTGAACATGTTGTGCAGTTTTTAACTTTTCGTAGGGTTAGTTATAGTAATTTCAAAAAAATCCAAAATGAAAAATTTTGCATATCTTCACGTTTCAAGGTCTTCTGAATGTTCTGGCATACCTTAGAAAAAGTGGATGTATGTATGTAGATACAGTTTTTCGTCGACGACGTCAAGAATATTGATCAACCGAATGATTAAAAAAACATTCGATTTCTATTGACAGGAAGATGTGGTAATTAGTTTGTGGCAAAGGCAGGACCAGCAGTTTTGAAGATGAGGGCGAATTTTAAATTTAATTAATTCATTGTATGACAACATTTTCTAATAAACACTGACAAATGACTAATATACGATCACTAAATTATTTAATTATGGTAAATATTTTATAATGTAGATGGACAGCCGCGTCTACGCCAATGTCGTGGCCGCACGACTGGAGTCCTCAGCTATTTGCTGATGCCATTGCTAGGGAACCCTGGAAAGATGGAAACTGGTTGAACATGATGTACGTTTTAAATTTATTTTTATTTGAAAATTATTTACAAAAAACTATATTACGCAATAGACTTTTCAATTAAGCATACTAACTTTCAAAAATGAGAAAGTTTCTATGTCTGCTTTTATTAACTAAAAACTTGTTACTTGTTATTACATTTTTTTTCAATTTGTTTCATGAATTATCTAATAGATCCAGACATCCAACTGGAGGATATGACCAGTTCGGATGCTTAAGTGGAACTTTCGAGGCCAGTGATTCTTACTCGGTAGACATTTCGTTGCCTGGTGTAAGAGCTAGAAGATGGGGACCTCACAAAGCATCTTACATGCATCGAACTGCTTCTTTTGTTGGAGTTTTTGGAGATGGAAGGATATTCCTGGTCGAAGCCAATTCCGCGTTGCATGCACTTACACAGTATGTCGTAATTTAATTCAAACTCTCTATGAGGCATTATTTACTACAATTGTCCATTACATGTTTTAGTACGTATACGGAATTGTCAGAATGCCCAATGGTGAAGTTCATCCAGTAGACTATTGTGATTTGAGTCTACTTCATATTGCTGAAGACAGAACTAATATACCTAAAAAGTATACTTTAAATTTTCGTGGTACGTAGTATCACTATTTTTATCATATAAAGGTTTAAGATCAACAAAACATATGCATTTTATAGTTGATGGAATTTATTTCAATAACTCACTTGAGTTGCAAGTTGGGGATCAAGCTCGCGTTTTGGTGGCCGCCCTGGGAATGGGAAGCGTCATTAGTCCCCTTGAATTGCCAACAAGGGGGATCTTCTGGTGTTGGAATTGCACAGTTATGGTATCAATATCAAGGAGAGTGTCCAGTTCCCAATACACCTCGGTAATTCACATGCAAAAACATTATTCAAGCAGAAACTACAATAATCATTGAATTATAGTTTTAAACATTTGATTGATATTTTAGTGTACGACATCTGGTGCCAACGACCATAATTCCAGCATTACCACCTCTTATATTAGATCTCAAAGAACATGCGGCTCGCTGCGTTTCACTGGTTGGTGGTAAAGCAGCATCGTTGGCTCTTTTAGGAAGCGTACAAACTAACGATTATAATGTGCCTGAAGGAATTTGTTTAACAGTTAATGCCTTAAATATTCAATTAGAACATTACGATCACTTAAGTAAAGCTGTAGAACGAATACAAAATGTCAGTTGTGGAATAGTTGCTGGTGATCTGGAAGATGTTTGCAAAAAGTAAGTACAATTATATAGTTATTTTATCAGTAATTTGAATAATTTATTTACATCATATTTTGCTAAGGGCTGTAATTGCGCTACAAACCGCCCAGATTGTAGATTCTATACAAGAACAGTTACACAAATCTCTTGTGGAATTGCGGAAACGTTCGCCAACAAACGCTCGTTTTGCTGTTCGTTCTTCAGCCATTTGTGAAGATTCTGATGAATTATCTGCTGCAGGACAATGCGAATCTACTTTAGGATGCTTGACGGATTTAGATATTGCAGATGCAGTCAAGCAATGTTGGGCATCCTTATTTGCCTATAGAAGCGTGCATTACCGAAGGTAAATAATAAATACTAAATATTTTGAATACGAAATATATTTAGGTCCAGTATGTTATCACTAATTAAAATAAATAAAATAATTTAAACTATATATTATTTGTTTAATAGACATTATGGTCAGGTGATAAACTGTGGAATGGGCGTCGTAATTCAAGTTATGGTTCCTGCTGAAAAAGCTGGTATTATGTTTACCAGACATCCAGTTAGTGGTGATCCAAGTCAAATATACATTACTGCCAATTATGGCCTTGGCGTGGTAAGTAATAAATTTGTTTGTCGATAAATTATGAACTATAAATTATAAAGATAATTACTAAATATTTAGAGTGTGTCGTCTGGAGATGTAGAACCTGATACCATAATCATTCGTCGCGATTGGCATGATCGCGTCGAATTTGGTTCCGCAATGCGCGGTGATAAGTCACACGTAGTTATCATGAAGGAAAATCAATCAGAAAATAACGAAGAATGTAATAAATCAAACGGCATAGAAACACGACCACTAACCGAAGAAGAATCTCGGAGACAAGCGTGTTTAAGTCAAGATGAGGCCTTGCAATTAGCAGAATTGGGTGTTGTACTTGAATCACTTTATGGAGCTCCACGAGATGTCGAGTGGGCTATATGTGATAAGGTACTCATAATAGTATTTTGTATGCTTTATTTATTATTTAGAATTTTAAAGAAACAAGAACACATTTATTCATAATATTGTGACTTATACAGACGTTGTTACTTTATTTTATAAATTTTTAATTTTCAAGATAACATTTGATAGAATTATAAAATTGTATTTTAGGGTGTAATACATTTGCTGCAAGCTCGTCCCATTACGGCTACAGCACGATTTTCTGACCGCGAGCTTTTGCATGAACTAGATACTCCTACAATGACATCTGAAGAAGTGACATCATTTGGCGGTGCCGCCGAGACTTTCCCGGGGGTTGCAACGCCATTAACTCTAAGTGCTATTTTGCCGCGCCTCGATAGACCATTAGTCGTACTACGGCTAGGAAAACCTGCCGCTCGAGCCTTACATGCGATGGTAGTTTCGCATCATCGAGTATCTTCTAGTCCAGTTACGGTAATGATGTTTTGATCAAAACAATATTAACATTAACCTAATATTCCAACTTTTGACTTTTCTGATTTTAAGTTATTGAAATTGCAAGACAAAATAAGAGCATGTTTAAAAATAAATGTACTCCTATATATCAAGCATGTGTTTATTTTGCCACGCATTTGATTAATTGGCTGGAATGGTCTCTAAATGCTTAAAAAATATTTGATTTACATCAACAATTCGCATAGCATACATATTTGTTTTTGGGAAAGGCCAGTGGCGGATCCAGGGGGGGGGGTTACGGTGGTCATGACCCCCCCCCTGAGCCTGTTTTAGGACTTAGATAAAACACTAATTCAACAAACAAAAATACTTCATAATGATTTCATTTATGTATTTTGTTACCAAACACATTTTATAACTTGAATATTTAACTGATTGTAGACGAATGGCGGAGTCAAAAACCCTAAAATTTAAGGATTTTCTAATCGTATTGCGAATATATGTTTTATTACAGTTTAGGAAAATAAATTCATTCATCCGAAATTTCAAATTCGTTCATTCATTCAAATCAGATACTCCGTTCTCTCAAAAACTCGATTTGTATTTTCTGCACTCTTTACTCTGTATCTCCATAACTGCTGGACCTGTCTTTGCTAAAAACTAATCAGCACATCTCCCTATCAATAAGAATCGAATGTTTTTTGAACCATTCAAATCGGTTAATCCATGCGCCCGAAAACGTGGACGAAAAAATGCGGACATACAAAACACACACACACATCCATTTTTTCTGAGGTATACCAAAGTGTTTAGAAACCTTCAAAACGTTAGATTTTCAGCCTATTACTATAACTACCCCATGGGAAGTTAATAATGACTGATTTAGAGAAGTATACCTAATCGCTGTAAGCCATTTTGAAGAGAGAAACAATTGCAAATTGTTTAAAAAAATTGAGAGAAACAATTGCAAATACATAAATGAAAACGAACACATACGAAATACGAAGCCGAATACATACACACGGTGAATTTTTCAGTAATAATAATAGTTTAGTACGTTTATTTAGAGCAGAAACTCTATCGCCATGCAAAATTTCACTTAAATCGCCAAAACATGACAATCTATTATGAAAAAGAAACGACTTGACCGATCTTCGCCAGAAACCATTTTTTTTTAATTTCCATGATATTCAAAATTCCAAATGATATCAATCGAATAGTTAAGCAAAAACGGTTAAAATTTTTTTACATAAACATGGACGATAATTTTTGCACTTTTCTGTCGATAGTAAAGAAACGGATCGACCAATTGTCTCAAAAAACTAATCAACGCAAGCGCTTATCCACTTTTATTTTATAGTTTTTAAATTTTAACATCGGTTCAGACGAGAAAACGTCGAGAAAAGGTCAAATTTTGGCCCACGTCAAAGACGCAGATTATTTTTAACTTCCCGAAGGAGAAGTTTATGTTTTCATCAAAAAATCCAATTCGCTAATTTTATGTTTCTCGACGTTTCAAGCTCATTCTGAATCGAATGAGCCCAAATTTGGAAAAAATATGTGTGTGTGTATGTGTGCGTGTATGTGAACAGATTTTTTGCCGTAAATCGACATTTTCTCAAAAATGGTTCGACCGATTTAAAAAATTTAAAAGCCATTCGATATATCTCGATGAGGACTAGCGTTTCTGAGTTTTGTGCGACGATCGTCCAAGCCGTTTCTTTATAAATAGCAGAAAAGTGAAAATTTTTTCGTCCACGTTTTAGCCCGCAATTCTGAAAATTCAAAAACCGTTCGAAAGATATTGGTTGGGAATCGTGCTGATTAGTCTTTGGTAAAGATCGGCTGGGCCGTTTTCTTGTAATAAAATTTTTTAAAGGAAAATTTCGACGATTTTTATGTTTTTTTTTACGGTAGAAATCATAGTCTTCTAGACCATACTAAAATATTACGGCCCTACCGTATAGCTTTAAAAATTCGTCAATTGGTATCGTTTTTTTGGTATTTGTCAAAATTAGACCTTTCATCGACGTTTGCTCCAAAACGCCTGAACCGATTTCAGAAATTTAAAAGCCATTCGATGTATCTCAATGAGCACTATAGTTTGTCAGTTTTGTGAGACGATCTGCCGAGCCGTTTCTTTGTAATTTGAAAAAGAGTGTTAAACTTTTCGTCCACATTTAAGCTCATTCTACCGAATCGATGTTGAAAAATCAAAAACTGTTCCAAAGATATTAGTTGGGAATAATACTGATTAGTTTTAGGTGAAAATCTACCGAGCCGTTTTCTTGTAATTAACTGTTGAAAAAAAATTTAAGCCGATTTTTATGAAACTTTCTTTGGCGATGTATATCATGGTCTTATAGAACTTACTGAAATATTACGGCCTTACGACAAGTAGTTTAATTTTAAAAATTCATCAAAGTTTGAGTAAATGAGTAGTTTTGTTGACGTTTGTTGGAATTAAAATTAGATGATTTACTTGGTATAACGATAGAGTACTTGGTTTTATTGAACATACTAAGCCGATTAAAGTCCTATGGAAACTGGTTCAATTATAAAAATTGTTGATTTTTTAAATTTTGCTTTTGGTATAACGATAGAGTACTTGGTTTTATTGAACATACTAAGCCGATTAAAGTTCTATGGAAACTGGTTCAATTATAAAAATTGTTGATTTTTTAAATTTAGCTTTTGGAAAATACTCCGAGTCAAAGTGTTCGTTCGTTTTCAATTATGTGTTATAAATCTACTCGGAATACTTTTAATCACTCATAAATTAATTTATATTTTATTGATTAAGTCGATTATTTACACATAACGGGAAGTTCATGTAACTTGCCTTAAGGCTAAATACCAATACCAACTAGTTAATTTATAAGGTTAGGCGGGTCTAATTTAACTTTGAGCAATTATATTGTGAAAACTAAACGAAAAACATAACAACCATTAAGACACATCAAAAAATCATCTGACTATGTTTTAGTACAACTTCCAGCTAATTCATCACTGTAAAAATGTTTTTTTTTTTGCTGTTTTTAAAAAAATTGTCACTTGGTCTTTTTTTACCCCATAGGCGGGGTAAAATCGGCGAGAGGACAAACAATCCAATTTACTATTTTTAATTTTAAAGGGATTTAATAAAATAATAGCTACATTATTCAACCAATAAAAAATATGAATTTTATAGATACATTTTTACAGGGATAACTCTGTAAATAACCTTGATTTGATATTTTGTCCAAAATATTCATCAGCAGAGTTGGAATAAATATTTATTTAATTTATCTCTTGTAAAAATGCTTTTTTTAACGTCGTAAGAATCAGGGTGATAGCTGGTTGTACATTTTTCCCTCTACTTTCAAATTTTGTTGTTAAGAAATCCTTAACTTTACTTGTTTTTGAGATATCGGTGGTGGACCTTCTTACCCGCGAATCTTTAAGCCCCGTTCTATCTAATATATATATATATATATATATATATATAATAAATTTGTTACATACTCTTTGAGGACTATAAAAACTTTTCAATTATGACACCCCCTGACGCCGAAGCTGGATCCGCCACTGGTAAAGGCACGCCAACCCTTGTGCAATTATGATAGAAAAAAGCTAAAACAGCAAGTTGAAGCCAAAAATAGATATTTGACAAACTATCAGATAATTTAAAGACGTTTTATATAATATACTCGTATATAGTGTGTATACATTTTCATACTTAACTTTTAGTTACATATAAATAAATGAGAATTCTTTAAATACATACCTATAAGCTTTGCATTGAACTTTGAAGATATGAGATTTGCTCGAATCAAATTCAAATTTTATTTAGTCGTATAAAAAGTATAAACCATCTAAATATCTTAATTTAATAAATATTTAAAATTTGACCAATTGAACAAAGGACCAGTTTGACTTCGAACAATTGTACTGTGAAAACCAAATCAATTATATCACAATAAATAACACGTATAAACAAACAACTATCTCACTATGTTCAGTAAAACTCCCAGCTAATTCATCATTGTAGAAATGTGTTTTATTTGATATTTGCCCACCCACGTGTTAGTTTTTATAAAGGCTATATATAATTCACTGTTGAATCAAACATAAAATTAACAATACATCTTGTAACACAATTAAATAACGTATGCTTACAAATTATATTAAGGTCTCGTAAACTAAACAACGAGGCTCACAACCAAAAAAACTATCAATGAAAGAAAATACTTTCGTTATAGATTTTCAAACATTTCCAAGCAAGGTCATAAGAATTAAGGCGATGACTGGTTATCTCTTTTATCTCTTTTTTCCTTACTCACTTTCAAATATTGCTGTTAAAAAATTCCTAACTTTACTTGTTTTAGAGATATCGGTAGTAAACCTTTTTATCCGCGGGCCTTTAAGCCCCGCTCTGTACTACTTAATTTTTTTTTTTGCATATTCATTTGAATATGTTTTCCTTTACTGGTTGTTAAGCCGAAAATCTCAGTTAAGTATATGGAATAAACTTCTTCTGTATAAAGTTATGTTAAAACCAATTTATTGGATGTATGGAATACAGCTCTTGGGAACGGCATGCAAATCCAACATCGCCAAATTTTCTAGTTGAAATATATTTAAAAAAATATTGGCTTTCAAAACATTTTTGAAAATCCGGGACAATCCGGGACAAAACACCTGAAACGGGGACAAATATTGCTTTTAGAAAAAGCCGGGACGCAAGGCGGAAAATGTCCCGGTCAATCCGGAACATATGGTCACCTTACTATTACTACAATAAAATATACCTAATCAACAACGAAACGGATTACCACTGGGTGACCTTTCGACCTGTTTTCCTAATATAATTAACCATCAAAATTACTGAATGTTGTTTCCTGTTTATAACGACAGATTGTAATTCACGAAAGATTGTAATTCATAAGAAAAAAAGAATATGTTTTCAGATTTTAATCATGTAATATTTGTTCATAAAATGACAAGTTTCAGAAATTTATCTTAAGCAACTCTACAAATTTAAATTATATGTTTGCAGCATCTTATGACAAATTCACAAGATCCTGGCGGTATAAGTGATCTTAAAAGAGATCCGATGCATCTTGCGGTTTGCGGAGCACGTAGCACTAACCGAAACCACAGAAATAGTAAACAATCTATTCAAAATGATAATATAGATCGCTTGCGCCTACTTCTCGACGTTGTTAAGGTATTTATAAATTCTAAATCATCTATATGATTTCATTCCATTGTATTAATTTGCTCTCAATCTTCAAAGTCAACGTGGAATGTGAAGAAGCACGTGCAAGATCTACAAGCTTTTCTAGATGAATTCGAATTAGATCAAGATCGTTGCGAAACAGCCCTGGAATTGTATCAGAGAATTACTGACGATTTACCCCATTTGGGTTATGTCGCAATGCTACACTATAGATGTTCCGCTGTTAGTGTTATTAGTCACGTTATTGCTATGCTGATATTGACAGAAAAAAATAAAGGTAGGTATTATGTAATATTGTAATAAAAATAAAAATTTAGTACATTTGTTTTTGTATATATTAATGTTTGTTAATAATATTTAATTTATAAAATCAACATTTTTGTGCCATTTATTGCAAGACGCTTTGAAAATTTTACCTTGTGCTATCGAACAATATGTCGAACTACTTTGAAATAAAAAACGAGAACCCGATGTAAATGGTTGAAAAAACATTCGATTCGTACTAACAATGAGTAGATCCAAAATTTCGGAGATTCGAAAGAAAAATGCAAAAATTGCCTTTGTAGAGTTTTTTACGGAATTTTATAATAATATTTGGGCAGTTTCAAAATACTTATTCTAATTGTAACCGAGCATTTCAACTAATATTATTATCAATATTTAAGCAAAACTTTTAAGTATTTAATTGAAGTGAGACTTCTAAATCTTATTGGGAAATTTGAAATTTTGGTATTGGTCCACTTAATAATTAATTCATTAATATTAAAATAAAAGAATTTAAAAATTAGACTAGAACTTTGTTGTTTTTAATACAATAATTGTTTTTCGATCAAATACAAAATTTTCAAAAATATTTAGAATGTTGCAACATTTTCAAAATAAATTTGAATTTTTTCTTCTATTGAACTATTTGCTTTGATTCAGTTCAACTTGGTTTTTATCCATTTTTCAATTTTATTTATTTTATATGTGCTCATAAAAAGGAAACTTCTAGCAATGTGCTTAGGCACAATGCCATTCATTGTTTTTATAAACTTTTTAATTAATATAACAGCTAAACTATAATGATTTTGATAGGGTCTAAAGCTAAAGGGAGAAAGACGAAGTTTGATTGTTCGAATAAGTTCCCATTATTGCTTTTAGTCAGTGCCTTACATTAACATGATCTGTAGACCGACTTACTTTTATAGAGTTTAAAGTAAGTGCACATGTTCAAATTCTTTTAAAGATAACGGTTAATTATTACAGATTGATCACTTTGTTTGGTATTTTGCTGTATGTTGAACATCAGCAGTTATTTACCATTAGCATTAGTAGTTTTTGCTTTTAGATAATTTAGCTCAGTCATAATGATCATTTTGGCTTGAATGTTTACATTCAGATGTGCATCTTGATGCTGTACCTTCTAAATATTTTGCATTCTTACACTATTAACTTCCCGTAGGGTAAGTTATAGTAATCGCAAAAAAATTGAAAATAAATTTTTTTATATATCTTTACCTTAGAAAAAATGGATGTATGTATGTGTGTGTGCGTGCGTGTGTGTGCGGATACAAATTTTCGTCGACGATTTCGGAAACCCCGATCAACCGATTTAAATAATTCAAAAAACATTCGATTCGTACTGATAAGGAGACGTGCTGATTAGTTTTTGGCGGAGGCAGGTCTAGCCGTTCCGATACGGGGCAAAAAGTGCCCAAAACGGTAACACAGTTATTGAGACGGAGCGTCCGATTTGAATAATTAAACTAGCTGTAAGTGAAATTCTGTCTTAAGGCAATTAGGGCATCGTGCCTTAAGGCAAATTGCTGGAACTTCCCGTACCAAAAATTATTATTTTTTTTTAAAACGATTAACATTTTTGAAAAAAAATTACTTTGAAAAAATAAGATTTTTGAGAAACTATAAATTGGACAAAAAATTAGTTTTTTTTGAAAAAAAAAAATTTTTTTAGAAAAATTTTTTTAAAAAAAAATTTTTTTTTTTGAAAAAAATTTGTTTTTTCTTTATTTTGACATATTGTGGAAGATCTGAACTTTTTTTTCAAAGCAATCGTACTGCTTTAACTACATAGGGACAAAATATAAAGCGCGTAAGCGCCGCGTCGCTGTCTAACGCATAAGCATTGGTACGGAACCGATAGGAATGTTAACAAAATGTATACTTATTGTTAAAATCTCTATAAAATGTCTGCTAATTTGATGTGCATATGTCTAATGATCATTTTTGACCGCCAAATGGCTCATTTTTTTACTTTTTCCTCTATATCTCCGAAACCGCTGGACCTACCTTCATGAAAGTTGTATCGATTCTTCATCTTGTCAATACAAATAAAATGTTTTTTGAATTATTAAAATCGGACGCTCCGTTCTCTTAAAAACTGAGTTACCGTTTTCGGAACTTTTTGCCCCGTATCTTCGGAACGGCTTGACCTGCCTTTGCCAAAAACTAATCAGCACGTCTCCTTATCAATACGGATCGAATGTTTTTTGAATTATTCAAATCGGTTGATCCGTGTTCCCGAAATCGTCGACGAAAATTTGTATCCGCACATACATACACACACATACATACATACATACACACACACACACACACACACATACACACACACACACACACACACATACATCCATTTTTTCTAAGGTATGCCAAAATGTTCAGAAACCTCTGAAACGTAAAGATATATAAAAATTTTCATTTTCGATTTTTTTGCGATTACTATAACTTGCCCTACGGGAAGTTAAAACACATTTTATTTGTATTGATTAAACGAAGAACTGTTAAAATCTTTTGGAAAGGCTGCTCTAACGGTTATGGACTCTCAATAATTTTTTTCTTAAAAAATGTAATTTGGCATTAAAAATGTTCACTAGACACATATGCACATCAAAAATATCAGATTTTTTATAGAGATTTTCAAAATGTGTACACATTTTTTGTCATTTTTTTGGGTTCAATACCAAGATTTTTAATTTATAAACAAATGTCCTAGACATTTTCGACAGTATGGAATAATCATCGATTTGTATTATTGAACAAACATTTGATACTCGAAATATTCGATCGCGAGGCGTTTTTGCAAAAAGCACATCCTGCCGTTCCGCAGGTATGGAGCGCAAAGGGTGTAAAAATTGTCATGCAGTTTTTGAGAGAACGGATCACCCGATTAGATTAATTCAACTAGCTGTAAGTGGAATTCTGTCTTAAGGCAATTAGGGCATCGTGCCTTAAGGCAAATTGCTGGAACTTCCCGTACCAAAAATTATTATTTTTTTAAAAACGATTAACATTTTTGAAAAAATTTTACTTCGAAAAAAATAGATTTTTGAGAAACTATAAATTTGACAAAAAAATACCGTTTTTTTTGAAAAAAAAAATTTTTTATTTGAAAAAAAAATTTTTTTTTGAGAAATTTTTTTTTTTTTGAAAACAAAAAAATTTTTTGAAAAAAAAATGTTTTCTTCATTTTGACATATTTGAAAATTCTGAACTTTTTTTCAAAGCAATCGCACTGCTTGAACTGCATGGAGACGAAATGTCAAAGCTCGCAGGTGCCGCGCCGCCGTCTAACGCATAAGCATTGGTACGGAACCCATAGAAATGTAAAAAAAATTATACTTATTGTTAAAATATCTATAAAAAATCTGACAATTTGATGTGCATATGTCTAATGATCATTTTTAACCGCCGAATGGCATTTTTTTTTACTTTTTTCATTAGATCTCCGAAACCGCTAGGCCTGCCTTTATGAAAATTTGATCACTTCTACATCTTGTCAATACAAGTAAAATGTTTTTGAATTATTCAAATCGGACGCTCCGTTCTCTTAAAAACGGAGGTACTGTTTTTGGCACTTTTTGCCCCGTATCTTCGGAACCGCTGGACCTGCCTTCACCAAAAACTAATCAGCACGTCTCCTTATCAATACGATCGAAGTTTTTTGAATTATTCAAATCGGTTGATCCGTGTTCCCGAAATCGTCGACGAAAATTTGTATCCGCACATACATACACACATACATACATACATACATACATACATACATACATACATACATACATACACACACACACACACACACACACACACACATACATCCATTTTTTCTAAGGTATGCCAAAATGTTCAGAAACCTCTGAAACGTAAAGATATATAAAAATTTTCATTTTCGATTTTTTTGCGATTACTATAACTTACCCTACGGGAAGTTAAAAAACAATTTTTGCTTGTGTAGATGGTATGCAAAAAATGGTTTTACAACAAATTTCGTTGTTTTGAAAATTTTACAAAGCTCAAATTTTTGAAATCATTTTGATAAAAATATCTAAATTTCGAAAAATTTGGGAAATATCAAAAATAAAAAAAAAACGATTTCTTACAAAAATTTGAAAATATTTCGAAATTTAAAAAAAAAATCGGTCATTTTCAAAAATTTCCACATTCTCAAAAAATTAAAATAAAATCGATTTTTTTTTAAATTTCAAAATTATCAAAAAAATCAGATTAAAAAAAAAAATAAAGAAATTTCTTGTAAGCAAACATAAGTAGTTTGTATAATACGCTCGTCGCCCAATAAGCACATATAAATCTACAGTATGTATTTATAATAAACTAGCAAACCCGACGAACTCCGTTTCGCCACCAGATGGTTTCGTGAGAAAGATGAAGAAATTTTTTGTTTGTTTTATACTTGAAAAGGAAACATTTGATTTTATTGTACAACAGTAATGAATTTATTTCAATTACAAAAATGAAGCGTTTTTTAGTTGAACTTCTCTAAGTAAATAAAAGTGAATCCGCAAATTATCTGTTTCATTGAAGTGCTCTTTGGTACACCACATTTTTTGTTTTTTGTTCTGACGTTAACACAAATAAAGCGGATGGTTTTCCAACTCGTGAACAGGCAACGTATAACTGCCCATGTAAAAAACAATGATTTTCTAAATAATCTATTTGAAATTTATCCCGCAAACACTAAGCGATTGGCTTTGCGACTTGTTATTGCGAACGCAAGGCGAACTGGAAATTGCAATCGTTTGAAGTCAAACGGAAGACCAGTCGGAATCATTGGTATGTCACCAAATCGCCAGCAATGTTTGATTGAATGGTGAAATTCAGTGCGTGTACATCATTATTTTTTGCGGCAAGAATTGCTCGTTGACTTAACTAAGCATAATTCTGATGATTCTCACTAATGTCATTACTCGAATTTTCAATTACAGTGCGTAAAGTTCCAGCAATTTGCATTAAGGCACGATGCCATGCACCATTAATTTTCTTAGCTATAAACCTTGTGGAGCCCGATACCTTTCCAACGAATGCAAAATTGTCGAAATCTGTTCGTGCGTTCTGGAGTTATTTCGTCAGGAAGGAAAACCCGACTTATTTTTATATATATGTAGATAATCTATTTGAAATTATTTAAAACAATTATTGATTATTTTCATTCTTCGAATTTTTAATTACGGTACGAAAAGTTACAGCAATTTGCCTTAAGACACGATGCCATGCGCCTCAGTAGTTTTGTTATATTAACTTAGAAAAAATGGATGTGTGTGTGTGTGTGTGTGTGTATGTACGTGTGTGTATGTATGTGCGGATACAAATTTTTGTCGACGATTTCGGGAACACGGATCAACCGATTTGAATAATTCAAAAAACATTCGATTCGTATTGATAAGGAGACGTGCTGATTAGTTTTTGTTGAAGGCAGGTCTAGCCGTTCCGAAGATACGGGGCAAAAAGTTCCGAAAACGGTAACTCAGTTTTTAAGAGAACGGAGCGTCCGATTTGAATAATTCAAAAAGCATTTCACTTGTATTGACAAGATGAAGAATCGATAAAATTTGCATGAAGGTAGGTCTAGCGGTTTCGGAGATATGGAGGAAAAAGTAAAAAAATGAGCCATTTGGCGGTCAAAAATGATCATTAGACATATGCACATTAAATTATCAGATATTTTATAGAGATTTTAACAATAAGTTAACATTCCTATGGGTTCCGTACCAATGCTTATGCGTTAGACAGCGACGCGGCGCTTACGCGCTTTATATTTTGTCCCTATGCAGTTAAAGGAGTACGATTGCTTTGAAAAAAAAGTTCAGATCTTCCACAATATGTCAAAATAAAGAAAAAAAATTTTTTTTTCAAAAAAAAAAAATTAAAAAAATTTTTTTTTTTTATTTCAGAATTGCGTTCAGAGCACCTGCACGATGCATCGGTTTTGTTGAGTGCATGTTCAAATCCTGGAGGCAAAGACGAGCCAATATCGGCTGGTGCCGCGGTAGCGAGCGCGCTACGCGATATGGCTGCCGACGTACGAGCAGACGGATTGGAACGAGAACTACGAGCTGTGCCCGCAAAGGAAGCCCGACGCTGGCTGAAAGAAAAATGTCCACGGGCTGCCAGGCGGTTGGACACATTTTTATGCAAACATGGACACAGAGCTCTTCGGGAGGTTAGGATAAACAATATTCATTTTTATTATTATTATATTTATGCATTATTATAAACTTCCTAAAGGAAAAGTTTATTTTCATAAAAAAATAAATTTGCTAACTTTATTTTTTCTCGACGAGACCAAATTTGGAAAAAGTAGGTGTGTGCGTGTGTACAGATTTTTGCGGCTGGACCGATTTCAAAAATTTAAAAGCCGTTCGATGTAACTCGATAAGGACTAGCGTTTGTCAGCCAAGCCGTTTCTTTATAAATAGCAGAAAAGTGAAAAAAAAATAGCAGAAAAGTGAAAAAAATGTCCACCTTTTAGCTCACAATCCTGAATCGATTTTAAAAATTCAAAGACCGTTCAGAACATATTGGTTGGAAATAATACTGATTAGTTTTTGATAAAGATTCGCTGGCACTTCTTCTTGTAATTCACTGTCAAAAAAAGTTTTTCGAAAATTTTTATGAATTTTTTGACGATAGATGGTTTTATACATCATACTAAAATATTACATGTCTACGACAAGTCGTCTGATTTTAAAAATTTGTCAATGTTTGAAAAGGTTAGTAGCGTTTTTTTGGCGCTTTCCTTCATCGATGTTGTTTTAAAAAACGTCTGAAGCGATCTCAAAAATTTAAAAGCCATTCGATGTATCTCGATCAGGACTATCGTTTCTCAGTTTTGTGCGACGATTGACCAAGCCGTTTTTTGTAATTGGCAAAGATGTGTGAAAATACTTGTTTACGTTTCAGCTCACAATTCTGAATCGAATTTATTAAATCAAAAACTATTCGAAAGATATTATTTCTCAAATATTAATCTAATGTAACAAATCGTGCTGATTAGTTTTGGATAGAGATTGGCCAAGCCGTTTTTGTGTAATTAACGGTTGAAATTTTTTTTCGATGAAGCTCTATATGTTCATAGATATAATGGTTCTAAAAAACATAATAAAATTTACGCCCCTACGACAAATCGTTTCATCAAAATTTGTGATAAATAATTCAAAATTTAAATTTCACAAATTCAAAAGCCATCGGAATAAACGCGATAAAGAGGAGCCGCGGTTAGGTTGGCGAAGTTTGGCCAAGCCATTAGAAATTATTATGGATTTGGAAATGGCAAAAAAGTAAGTGAGCAGTCTACAAAACTTCTCTAGTTGTGTAAGAAATTAATTTAAATGACGAAATAATGTCAAAGACTACGTGCTTGATATAAATAATTGTGCTAGTATTTTCTTATAGCAGATTTTTAATATTTCGCGAAATAATTAAACTTCTTTAAAAAAAAATCGATGTTTTTCATGAAATTAAACATGGTGATAAAGTTTATGCACTAAACAGTCCTACGGTTGAATGCACTAAACAGTAAATTGGTTGAATTATATAAATTAATTAATATTTGGAATAATAAGCTAAAATTTTAGGTCATACCAAGCACAGTCTGTGCACTATAATTAATATAATTACAGATAATTCAAAAGTGTTTGAAAAATATCAGTTGGAAATCGCAATGTTTATATTAGTTTTTGCTTTCACTTAAACTTTATTTCTGAAATAATCAGTTCAAAATTTTATCTAGATATCTAAATTTCAATTTTACTTGAATAAGTTCATGCAACTTGCCTTAAGGTAAAATACCAACTAGTGAACATGATTTGAACTCATCATTAGTTTGCAAACGATTTAGAAAATTTGATTTGTTGCTATATTGCAAAAAATACTAATATTATTTAAAAACTGTTCAGCTGTAACGCTTAATTCATGCTTTAATAATAATAATGCATAATAATGGGAAATTTTTGCATTTTTGCGAAACTTTGGTTTTATACTGTTGCAAGGAGCTTCTTAATTTTATAATAGATTTTTCTTATTATTAAATTGTTCGTATAAATAAATATATAGCTTATTTACGTAATAATTTATATAATCAATTGATTAATATTTTAAATTATTTGTTGTATTCATTAATGTAATTCTAAATGTTTATTATAAAATCGTACTTCGCTTTGCACTAATATGAAAAGAAACAAAAAAAATTTATAAAGTAAAATAAAAGAAATCTAATTATGAAAACTGGTCGAAGAAATCTGATGGGTCAACTTCTTTACCCAGAAGAGGTTTATTTTTTGGCGCTTGACGGGGTGATGTAGCTAAGTTGCGCAATATACCCTGCGATAACACGCCCAAATCAGGTTCATGTTTAGGTGGTTCAATTAAATATCTGGGCTCCGTCATTTTTTTATATGGAATGTCTAAAACACACATGTATCGCTTAGACATTCTACATGAATAGGTATCAGAATTACGTTGAGATTCCATATATCGGGAAGTTGGAGGAGATTCGCCAGCACTGTCATCAATTGGTATTTTTAACTGTGCAGCTTCCGCCGTTGAAGATTTTTGATGTTTGTGACATGTTTTATTACATGGTGGTCTTGTATAAAAATCGATGTCATTGGAAATTTTTTCCAGGGCTGATAGAATGGGATAAGACATGCCTCCGTTATTTTTAACTATCTCTAGTTCTGAACTCTTTTCCCGTGTTTTGAAACTGGATTTGTCAAGGCCTACTTGTGTGGAAGACGAATCTTGCATAGTAGTCGACGATCCTTGCACTGGAGACAATACAGGTGAAAGATAAACTAATTCCAAATCCCCATCAGACCTGTTTTCATCGCCGCTTGTCCTAGATGACTCATAATTTTCGCCAATTTGACTTTCTTCAACATCTTTCAGATCAATTGCTCTCTCGTTACTTTGTCTAATGGGCAAAGCAAATTTAGCTAAATCACTTGATATTTTTTTTAGAGCTTCTAAAAATGGATTAACTTTTTGAACACCCTCTTCTGTATGGAATAATAAATGGGCAGATGTTATTGGCGTGAATTCAACTTTAGAAGATTTTTCTTTTACTACAATTGTTTCGCTAACTTTTCGCAAAGGCGTGCATACAGGAGAAACATAAACAATTTCACAACTTTTTGTTGAAGTTGTTACTTTGTCCGCATTAGTCTCTTCCTTAGTTTCTGCGATACAAACTGATGATCCGGCGGGCAGGAGAATATGAATTGAAGTATTGCTACTCTTAGATTGTTTCTTAAGGTTGTTTGCTTTAGCGGCTTGTTCTTCTTCGACCATCATTTCTGCAAGCTCATATCTTCTATTAGCTTCTTCGGTATTAATTGTTTCAATCGAAGCTTCACTTATTTCTTGGCTGGGCCATATTAACGAACTCTGCGATATCACTTTAGAATTAGCTTGAGCTTGCAATGCGGAATCAATATCTGCATTTTGTCGAGAACAAACAGAACTTGGTGGTGATACTGCGGATGGATCCGTAACTTTAATCAAATCAGTCTTAGCAGCTTTTGTCAAAAATCTCGAAACTATGCGTCGTACAATCCATTGTTCTTCATCCGTGATAACGCTCGAGAGGCAAGTAGATGGCAATAGCGCATCGAGTTTTACTGCTTCTATAACAGCTCTTCTATGCCTTTCCAATTTAATTATTATCATTTGGAGTATTTTGATATTTTCTTTGGCGGCACGAAGTTCACGATAATTTGTTCGTAATTTCGCTTCTAACAAAGTACGCCTTTGTCGTAGTTTAAATATCTCTTCGTGATCCATTCTTCTTTCATGGGTTTGTTCGTGTTCCAGAAACTGTCGACGCAACTCGTTAGCACTTTGTTGTAGCAATACTAATTCTGTTCTACTAAGAATTGCAACTGGGCTGTGTCTGTATTGTTGTAATTCCTGGATCAGGGGTGATTCCAGCCAGGATCTCGTTTCGATACAATTCCTGCAAATTATGGTGTCCCAAGTTTGTGTACCCACGTTGATTCTTGGCTGTCGAGTTGTTCTAACTTGTTCCATCAATTCCTGATATTCTGATCGAAGTTTAAAAAATGTATCGTAATTATCTTGAAGGTACTT